GCTACTTTTGTCCTGTCCATTCATGTAATTCACGAAGCATACCAACTTTTTCGGCTCGTCCTCATTGCGTTGGAATAATGGGTAAATGTCATCAACGAATCGGACAGGGCAGAGTGGTCGGAATTATGGCGGACATTCATTGAGAGCTTTAACCTTCAGGTGGTCCATATAGAGATCAGCTAAAACAACACGCAGTGAGGAGCCCATCGGAACGTCATAAGTCTGATGGTAGGTATTGTTCGGTATTAATTTGAAACTGGACAGGTTTGTTTTACGATCTGCAATGTGTGGTGCCCTGAACTATGAATCGTTCAAGCGTTTATCTCTATATCTATCTGCCCAGAATCAAAAGCCTGAAGGAAGGAAGATTAATTTGTGGCGAGACGCGCAGGCCATCGGTAAACGCATTAACAGTTGTTATTACGTAATGAAGGCATCCTTGCCAAACTGTTCACTTTGTACCCAGTGTCGTTTATTCTTTTGACAACTGTCACTAGCGTAAAGACGGATAGGAGCACCCCGCACAGTATACCATAGGAGGCAGTGGTAGCACGCAGCTGTGATGCACCCGTGCTGTCGTTAGCATGTAAGATGGGCGTCAGCGCTCTATCCTGGGCATGTGATCGTAGGTAGATGGAGATAGGGTGCATGTATACTATGGAAAGTTATGCGATGTTTTTGGTTCCTCCATACCTTTGTAGGTTGAGAACCGGGCTGACTGATGTGCGCAGGGGGGGGTGTGCTTCACTACCACTTTGCTAGCTTCGTGTATGCACGCCAAGGTATAAGCGCGAATTAAAGATAACGGGAGGTTCTTTCACGTATGTTATATCTGTATTAAGTAGCTTATATCTGCTTCAAGACCAAATTTAATGACGTATTGTAGTGTCTACTTGCTGCTACAAGTTGAGCATCCGAAATTTTGTCGAAATGAAAGCCGTAAAATTTTGCTAACTCGCTTCTCACTCCTGAGTTTTTGAAATATCCTTGGATAATAGAAACAGCGGTCATAACACTCTTTCGGTCACTCTTCCCCTCAACTTTCCATCGACAATCCATCTTCTGACGCCCAGCCATTTAGAAAAACCCCCCTACGTCCCTAACCAGAACCGAATGGTCAAACGTTATCAGAAGTTCTCTACGTCCCTTTCGTGAGCAACTTGGTCACTACTCATTTTGTCTAAAGGATCCAGAGAACACGTCCAACACACCCTATTTTCATGCTTGCATTTTATCATGGAAACAACTCGCCATCTTCTAACTTTCACCTCCTCTGCATTCCCGTACTCAACCCTTCTCCCTTCCATTCTGTACAGTGTGTATGAAGATGTATTTCTGTACCAGATAATGTTGTCCTGCGAAGAAACCCGGGCCGTTTCAATTTGTGGAACTGGGTTTCGTTTCTTTGTGATTTGTAAAGTGCTTCTAGGCCGCTTTCTCGAACATCCATAACTTTCCCTCTCATAACATTCAGTCCTTTTGGATATGAACTGACTCTTTTGGACCATAAAAATTTTTATTCAAAGGAATCAGATTCATTATTTTATTTGTTCAAGTGGAGAATTTGGGATATTAACGTGTTAGATGGTTTTAATAGTTCGTTTCGGAATTTTTGTTCCTTTATGAGTTTCATCATTGATTCTCTGAATTTTAATCAGTTCTCTTGAATTCGATCCTATCGTGTATTCCAAAATCCGAAACAGTTTTGGTCCCAAGCATTTCGAGTTAGGAATGCTCTACCTGTTTGCGTTGGGGGATATTTAAGCAAATCAGGGTCCATTTAAGCAACTGCAGTAACAGATGCATACTGCGTTGTTTTATCTTCATCAGAAACGATGTTTCATTCGTTCAGCTAGTTTATCTAAGAGGACCAGTCCCTCTTAATTCGTCTTTACATTTTCCTACGACACATATGCCCCGAAGATAACAGTTATTCCACATATTGTTTTGACAACCGTTCTCATCATCGAAGCTAATGCCACTGTACGCTATTCATCGTTAGAGCAACAGACTTTGACGCCATTTACTTGGACGTTGCACATGTTATCATCATACTATGACTGGATGGCTCGTAGTGGTTGGCTGTCGATCCTACATGTTTGCATGCATGCCCAGACTTTGTTGCGCAAGATCTATCGCGGGCTATCTCCAGGTCAAAAACGTGTAAATGGAATTAGCGAGCTCCGACGATTTTTTCTCCAGTCTGGCATAAGGCAAGGTTCTGGTAAGATTTGAAGTCACACTGTTTTTCTTGTGTCTTAGAGTCAACTTTTCCGCGGCACCTTTCTAGCACCTTTGCGTAGACTTTATCCGCGATGCTCATTGAGGTAATTGCGATAACTGGAGCACTCCCTGTTGTCTCCCTTCTTGAACTGAGGTATTACAGCCCCCGTTCTTCAGTTCATTGATGAATTCCCCGTAGCTACTGCAGTACGACATACACACGTAAGCCAACACTTGCTTTGTTCGCCTAATGCCCTAAGGATCTCGGGGCGGATTTAATCGATTGCTGCTGCCTTGCCGCTTTTCGAGCTTTGTACAGCTTCTGTGACTTCATCTACTGAAATTAAATTACGTTGCCTGCTGCTCTGCAGACTCGTTTTCTAGCAGTTGCTCAGGGTTAAGGAGTTCCTCAATGTACCCTCCATCGCCGAAGAATGTCCTCATCTTTGGTATGAGAGCGTCCTGTTTTTCCTCTTAGACTGCCCGTCTTTCCATATCGCAGGCAACGTATGGTCTGTCAGAGTACGTTGTTGCCGTTTGGAAATTTGACTGAATTCAACGCCTCGCCGAATTTTTCTTAGGAATAAGCTTTTGCTTTGACCACAGCATTTGTTGCTTCCTTTGGTGCTTCTTCGTCCAGTATTCCAGTTGAAGACTCCAGTTTCAAGCCACGGGCTGAATACAGCCTTCGGCCTGCAAGTCATTCAGCCCTCTGGGGCCAACGAAGAAGTCATTTCCTGACCCCAGGCAACAAACCAGCCCTTTAACCGCCTCAAACGCTATCACTAGGATGTGTTTGAAACGTGTTGCAATATTGTTTACAAGTTTTGCCCTCATATCCGCGGAAGGTAATATTTCCCATTTGACTTTGGTTGCTTCTTTCGCCAGGTTTTTGCATACTATTCCACTGTTTACAGCGGAGGATTCCAACAACAACCTGCTGATTGCTTGACAGCTCTACGCCATCCTTAACACGAACATCCGTTGCAGAGCGTCGTAAGTCCGACGATACGATTATCAAATCGATCACTGCGCACAAGCTTCCCTGTACCAGGTATACTGATGCCCTCTTCGATCCTCGAAGGTGTTCATAATGGACAGTCCGTTGCTTGCACAAAAGCGCAGAAACTTCATGCCGTTACTGTTGATGTCGCTAGGACCTTTCTTTCCATTCACGCATTTCCACTTTTCAGCATCTGCTCCGACATGCGCATTAAAATCGCCGTTCAATCATTAGAATGAAGCACCTCGTGCTGATCACACTCCACTTCCTCAAGGAAGGACTATATACTCTCTCCATATTGGGTGCATAGAGTTTAACAAGGTCCGAGTATTGCCACTCTTCCTATGACAGGCTACCATTCACCAGTTCTCTCAGCCAGGTTTGAGTCTACCAGAACACCAACATCGGCCTAAGCGCATGTCGTGATATTGACACTTGAGAATAATAGCTTCTACCAACAGAGTTTCATGATTCCAGAGCCTTGGCGCTTCGTTGACGAGAGTCCAATTTTGTCTGTTTGGTACCTTACGGCATGGTTGACTAGCTCCTGCTGTTTCTGTCTGAATGAGGACACGTTTGAATTTCCGACTATAAGCCCCACAGGTGATGTGTTTCCCGTGGAGACTTTTGTGAGTGCTGTAATGGCATCACGCTGTCTGTCTTTTTCGTTCATAGCGGGCAGTGACTACGCTGCTGATTGGTTTTTTTGTTGTGGTATCGTCGATGTTCGGTAGCCGTTGTCGTGCAGCTACGCCCCTTGCTACCAGAAGGCGTTGAACAGGCTCTGATAGCTGACTTTTTGCAGACTGCCTCATTCCTGCAAATTCCTGCTCCGCGCTTGATACACAGGGAGACCACCGAACCGTTATGACGCTGAATAACGGCAATACGATGAGGGAGAGGTAGCTAAATTTTACTATTTTGCCACGGTTCCCAATCCTTATCCTTTCTTATCCTGGCTTGGGACCAGCATCAGCGGAGTTTAAAGTCAAGCAAAGTACAGACTTTCACAAGTGGAATCGTCATTGCAGCTACTCATTCTAAGGCAAGACGTTGTATATCAAGGTGGTAAAATTGAACTGCCCCCTCCTTCGGTCGTTTAGATGAAAAAGATTGACTGTTGCAATGTCACGATTTGGTTGGAGGAAAGGTTAAAGGATTCAACTGCTAGGATTTTAATTTTGTGGATAGGATGTGTTGTTCGTGGCAAATTCATCTGTGTATCGTGCTGAGCGTATCGCGTAGATATCATCCTACTGTGTTCGTTCTAAGGTAATATTTTCGAACATCT